TTCATTTTGAAGTGATTTTGAGCATCAGGTCTTCTAAGCCTATTAAAAAGTCAGACATCTTGTTCAGATTGCTTCACATTTCAAGTGGAACTTTTATATTATTGTTACTGGTTCAACTAAATACTACAGCAGACTATAGACCCTTGAAGCTTTTATGTTTTTCTGAGGTGCAAAGCAGAAACGGCAACAGAAATATTAGGCTTCAAAAGAAGTGCTTTAAAGTGCTTAGACGTTTCCCTGCTTCGACACACTTGATTCAAATGTAACGTCAGCAGTTGTGTGTAGAACGTAATCTTTCAAAGACGTCTATTTAATCTGAATCAGATTTGTTGAAGCAGGGAAGCATTTTTTCTTCTAATTCCTCTGCCTCTCTGCGACTTACCGCTTCCTTCTCCCGGTCCATGATGGTCTCGAGCTCCTCGAAGTGCCTCAGCTTGATCTCCAGCTTCTTCATCTGGGTCTCCACCAGCAGAGCGACCAGAGACTTGATCTTCCTCTCCTCAACTGCTGCCAAGTGCTGCGGGGACAGAAGAAACACAAAACCGACGTTCTCAGATGTTGTCATGTAATCCAGATTTCCTGCTTTCTGGCCCACGTGCACTCAGGTGTGTGGTTCATAGAGGAAACACTGCTGATGGCAGAATGAGAAAAGCTGTGCGTGAGGTTCTCACTTTGGCCTTGGTGGCAGCAGACGCCAGAGCAGCAGCAGCCGCCGTAGCGATGTTCCCCTCTCCGATGTCATGTTCCAGCTTCTTCCTCTTTTCCTCTCCTTCTTCTGTAGCTGCTTTCTCTTCTTTGTCTTTCTCCTGCTCTGATGACGTCTCCATAGCATCCTCCTTCTCTTTGTCTTAGAGCACAAAGAAGTCCAAAACACGTCTAAGAATCATCTTTTTTTGTGCATGTTTCAAAGAGAGAATACTGAAAAGCGCCTCCTCTTCGGTGGCTTCCTTCCGGTCACTCTTTGATTACCTGCTGGAGAGGCCTTTGCCTCGCCTGCGTCCTCATTCTCCTCTTCCCGCTCCGACGCCTCCGTTCCCTCTTTCTTCACCTTTTCTGTCGCTTCCGTCTTGTCGCTCTTCTCTGCAGACTCGCTGGGTTTCTCGGCCTCGTCCTTCAGCTCGGCCTGAGCGATGAGAACAAAGACAGACGAGAGTCATGATGCGGCCGGTGTGGCTAGCCCGACACAAGTGGGTGATGAGTTTAATCTCAACTCTGTTCACGTCAGTGTGATTTAGATAAGTAATGGATGATAATGAAGTCAGACTATCAACTTCTCAGCAGACATGATTTGAATTTTGAAAATGAGATTGACCTGCAAGTGACAAGCGCAGCATGTAAATGAGCAGAAGTTAACACCTCGTGGAGTGAACTTTAATGTTCTTGCTGCAGGTTTTGAGTTTCCATTCAGATTTGTTGCATGGTTGTTTGAATAGTTTAAATATGACTGGTAATCAGATTTTTTCCCCCCAGCCACCTATGAAACTGATCAGGGTTTTAAAAGCGTTCAGTTTTAAGCTAAAGTGAAAGCAAACGGAAAGTCAAACCTATGGAAATCTAGAGGAAATTGAGGGAGGTGTCCCACCTTATCAGCCTGCTGGGAGTCTGTGTCCGTGTCCATCTTTTCTGGCTCTGTGGTTTCTGCAAGTGGAAAGAGTTCAGAGTTATCCACATAGAAAATGAATAAAAACTGATTAGCAGGGAGCAGGGACACTTCATGTTTCTGGTACAACAGAATGCCAGATTTACTGAGACAAACAGCAAAAGACTGACTGAGCTGAAAGTATTTTAACAGAACAGGAAAACGAGGGAGAGAGCGCACGCGTGACCGGATGAGCACGGCGGGATCAACCGTGTCATGAGAGCACCTGAGTGTATGTAAAGGGCCTGGATATTGATTGTGTGTCAGGCGAGTGTTTCAGCCTAAGCGAGGCATGGAACACATTCCAGCCTATTGATCGTTTTGTTGGCTCATTAATTCAGGGAGAGCGTGCACGTGCAGTGTAAACAGTGAAAGTCGGTTTTCCAGAAAGCACCAAGTAAAATCGAGAGAGAGAGCCACAAGCACGTTGGGCGGTGACCCAGTTTTCTGTTCCCTCTCCACCCACCCCCCCTGTCCCATCTGCCACTGTTGTTTTAATCCACTGGTTACCACAGCAGTATAAACACACACCAATATCTCTGCATTGCTCAGTGCCTGCTGCTAAAAACCGCTGCACATCTCCCTCAAATGGCACGAGAGAGAGGGATCATCCCTGCTGATAGTCTGGTTTAGAAAACGATTTGAAGAAGAAAAAAAAAAACAGAACAAAAGGAAAATCAAGGCTTTATCTATTCCTGCTTAAGCTTTGACATATTTCCACGCACGATGTGAAAAAACCAGGAGCATCTCCAAGCCTCTCAGCTTGATAAGAAGCTGATCTGCTGCCCTCTGGTGGCTGCAACAGGCACAAACCTAGCAGACCTAACCTAACAAAGGCTGAATTCCAACTCCAGTGAGACGGTTCACCCCTGAAATTGTCTCGAGGTGATACAGTTCAGATTAATATGAAACCTTAGGATGGACGTAAACAACTGAACATTCCAGATTTTTATTTCCACTTTGTGATCTCATTCTTTTCATCACTTCCATAGCCTGAAAATTCTTTAAGATGATATATAGTACTTTAGGATGAATTGCAGGCTCATCTCAAAGATTACAGCTTTAAAGTGGAAAAAGAGCTGCAGATGCTCACCAACCTCCAGGATGATAAACAAACCCCCCCCAAAAAATCAGCGAAGCCCTGACTCACCGGTCTTTTCTGGCTCCTCTGGGGCTGTTCCGGCGATGCCGCTGCTCTCCAGGCCGAAGGTGGGGTCCACTTTGCCTGTGCTCCTGGCCGCCTCCTGCACCTTCTTCACGTGGGCCTCGACCAACTCAGCCGGCACCTCCTCGCGCACACGGGAGAACTCCTCTGAAAACACACCGTACTCTCACTTTGAGATCTGCTCATAAGATGATCAAAACTGGACTGACAAGGCAGTGGAGACCAACTTTATCTGTTCACAATCTGAAGAAAAGTGTGACTTCAGAATTGACTTCAATTTAAGACTTTAAATGAAACATGCTTTTGGAACCATGTACGCTCACTTAACAGTTGCACATCTCTTATCATTTACAAAGAGAGCTAAATCCAGTAACTTTTCATCTAGTTGCATGTAAATCTTTATACATGTGCTTTTGTATTCAGCTGAGTTTACATGGTATTGTGTTGGTTTTCTTTTTTTCTTTCTTCGTCTCTTCATTTCCAAACTAAATCAAATGGAATACATCAATGCATTACAATAAAATGAACTCAAATCTCATCAAGTCTTAATCCTTTTCCTTCGTCTTGTTCTCACCTAAGGCTGCCTTGGCGGCGGCGGACGCCACTCTGGGGTCCACTACAGAGGCCAGGAAGGCTACTGTGCTCATGACGGGGTTCCCAGACTGGCTGAAGGGTATGGGCTGGTAGGCCAAAGGACCCAGGGAAGCCTCGGAGCTCTCCAGGTAAGGATCCTCAATGGGCAGCCGCAGGAAGTGCAGGATACACTCGTCCTGAGTGCGCGAACCAACGTGCTCCGACACTTTGTTCCAGTCATCTTTGTACATCTCCAGGGCCTTGGAGGCGGGAGGGGACACGAGTTAGCTTTAATTACATTTCTATTTCTGTTATAAAGATTGCAGGGCTGTAAGAAGCATGCAAGATGATGAAAAATGACAGAAAGGGTGGGAGCATGCTCACCTCCAGCAGCAGGAGGGTCTCCTGCTCGGTCCAGTCCCTGGTGGTGGGGACAACTTTACCCTGCTGTAAAAATCGAAGAACCGCAGAATCACATAAGGTTAGCCAAGTTATTAGACGACAGGAGTACTGTCCTGTTCAGGATGCTGAAGCAGCCGTACGCTCACCTTGGCATTTTTCTTGTAGAGGTCGGGGCGGAGGCCGAAATTCTGCAGGTCGATGGGTTTGTCTTTGCCTTTGTCTGCAAAGTTGGCCATCTGCTGTGGAGGTGGGATCTGCGGGGATCGGACAGGGGACACGTCCATCACACAGACCGGCTTCCCGGTCGTTTCCTAACACACCGCCTCGCCTAACTCTGGTTGCTCACACTATTCAAACTGAGCTCGTCATTGTCATGCCAAAGACAGATGGAATGCATTTTCATAGTGCTTATTTTCTCTCTAGTTATGTTCATACAACGAAAAAAGCTGTAATAAAAACAGAATCAAGGTCAATAGTGCAACTTTATCAAGTTAAGTCTCAGTCTATACATCTAGTTAAGTGAATTTCTCAGTGGCTGGCCTATTGGAAAAACAAAAAGAGCATTTAGGAATGTGGTGTTTTCACAACTCTAACAACAAGCCATTAAAATCTTAAAACATTAAGTTTTAGTCAGACCCTTCTTTATTCTAGCATCACATGCGTCTTCTAAACAAACTACCAAGCCCACCAGCATGTGCATTATTTAGTAAATTCTTCCTCTATCTTCCTTACCGGTGGTGGTCTGTGGTTGAGGGGCATGAGGCCGGAGGGCGTGTCAGCCAGCACAGTGAAGTGGGGGGTGGGTGGAGGGCCCATGGGCAATGGGCGGCTGTCGGCATCCACCTGGTAGTTCACCAAGCCCCACTGCTCCAGGAACGCGTGGACCCTGACAACGATAAAACTCTCTCTTCAGATTGCAGACTTTGCTTGTTAAGTTGTTTTTTTTCCCCCCCGTTTTATTTGTTTCGTCATCACGGTTACTGGTGTAGGTTCCAAAGCTTTTCAGGGTGAAACTCTGGATGGGGAAATAACAGATGTGGCTAGCGGAAAGATCACCTCATGATGGCGCAGACGTCCCCCGTCAGGTTCCTGCGGCAGGAGGTGGAGGTGAGGTACTCCTGAGGGTTTAGCCGATACGTGTCGATCATGAAGTTTCGGTAGGCCAGGTATCTGTTTAGGGGTTGACAGGAACTGTGTGAGTGGGATTCTGGGACCACCCAGAACACAAAAATCCACCATGTGAATGTTGGTGGGTTTGTGTGCATTAGAAGCTCACATTTCTGGAGTTTTGGACTTGTTCTTTCCATTGAAGAACTCAGGGAGGGCTCTTCTCTCAATTTCATGAATGCTAAAAAGATAAAAATCTTAATGAAAAACTGAGAGCTCGAAATAATTTGCCATCAAGAGTATTTTCTAGTCTCAGAACAGAGAAATTCAGATATGCGTGATGGAAACGCACCAGTTGTAGTCAAACCACGCCGCATAGCTGGGGATGATGATGTGGTGCGTCTGCTCGGTCACATTGTCCTCGCTGGCGTCCATCAGCCGGTTGATTTCTCCTTTGCTTTGGTCCTCGTCGTCCTGCGCACGGACAGAGAAATATACGCAGATGTGATACGACACACCAACGGATGTGCACGACCTTCAAAATGGTCCAGCTACCAGTTTCTTAATATTGTCAAATCTTTCAAGCCAAAATAAAAATAAAATGTCATCTTCTCCATTTTATTATTTCTTTTTTTTTTTCTAAAGGTCAGGTCACCAGGACCCGCCCACAAAAAATGAAATCCCTGAAACAGGATTTTGGCTTATGGAGAAGGTGGACAAATTGACCAATGAAAAAAACAGCAGTTGAGTGTGCAGTTATAGCTTTTCTTTGAGCCACATGAACATTAAACTGAAAGGTAAATTCAAAGGAACATGCAAGAAAACTTTATCCGATGTTTCTGGACTATTTTGTCTTAGGACCCACATAGTTCTAATGAATAAATGCAAGAATGTTCATAACGTTTTACCTTTCCACCCGACATGACAGAATCATCCTCCATGTCATCTGGAAGAAAAAGATTAAAAAAAGCTTTGAGCTCACATCCATCTAATTAAAAAACATCTGAAGATCAATCTTCCCTTTCAGATTATCATTACACAAGTAAGCATACAAATCAAGTTAAAGATACAAACCCAGGTCTGCCACATTCCCTCCTTTGATCGGAGTATTCTCACTGTCTTTCTTTGAATTTGCTGTGCAAAGAGAGAGAAAGATGGACCAAGCAAAACACTGAATGCCAGAAAAACTGTTTAAAGACAGTATCTTTGAACCGAAGGCAAAGAGGCATGAACCAAAAAACAGAGCATTGAAAGAGAGTGTCTGTGAACGCTTGGGGGGGGGGGACATTACAAATGGGACTCCTCCCAAAGAAAGCCCTTTAGTGGGATGTTTGATCGGTTTGTGAGAGAATTGGATAAGCTATTTGCATATTTCTGACTTTTCTCCCTGATGCTGGGTGGATCTCCTCATCATTCTGCAGAGTAAAAATAACCATACGGGAGGAGGAGCACAGTGATTTGAAGAAAGGAAGAAAAAAGAAAAGTAGGACAAAGAGTGTTACGGAATAAATTAGAGGGGAAAATACTGATGTGCAAGTATGCAAGCCTGAGAATCGAGTCTTCATCACATAATGTATGAAAGAAAATTATAGAATTGATGATAAAAGGTATTACTCTTAATATAAAGGTGGTTGTAAACAGATGCACACAAAAGAAAACATCAGTAATCAACATGCTTATTTAAAAAAAGGAACAAAAAAAAAAGCCTGTCCAAACAACCAGACAAGCACACCGGTAGTCTGATCAGAGGTTACAAAATGACCATAACTCAGCTGTTTATGGATCAATTAGCCATGTGCGTACAGAGGTGATGGTTAAAGTTAGAGATACTGTCCCAGATGTGCTGGGAAAAAGCATGTTTTACACAGACTGGAGGGTATTTTGTCACTGTAGACACTTCATATTTACATTACATTAACAACTGTAAAAATAAGAAATAAACTCCAGCAGAAAAGGGGGCAAAACATGCAATTATGTCCTGATGTCCTGTGAGGCAGTCAAAATAATGACCCAATGTCATCTTTTCTGGAGCTGCTTTCTTTGATTTTGCTGGAAAACATCACTGAGAAAAAGATAATTTCTTATGGAGCCTGCAGGGGGGGGCGCAGTCACATGCAAATGCATGCAGCAATCCAACAGCCTCTTCCCAAACTAAGTCAGTTGTGAGGAAAACCTGGAGGGGCTTTTAGAATCTGAATAATGGTATTTAATAATTCGGTTTGAAGTGCTTGTAACAGCAGAAACCTGGAAATGACCCGATCCCAAGGCCGAATAGTTGCCATTTATTACAAAACTGTGATTTCAGCAATATGTCGACAGAGTGACCCAAAGTTAAGAGCATTTCTCGCATCCCGTTTGATCCCGCCCTGCAACACACACCATTCTTAGACATGCTGCCCTCCTCCATGCTGGCACCGGCTGAAGAGTCATCCAGGTCCTTGGTCATGTCCTCCTCCGTGTCCTCCTCTTCTCCCCTGTGGCTCCGTCTCTTCCAGTGAATGCCCGGGTTCCTGGGAAAAGGGCAACAGGGACAGGGCGACTTCAAACAAGCTGGAAACTATTCAGGTTCAACGATTCCCAGACAGAAAGCCAAACGACTTCTCCTTTCTCTCCGTCTAGATTTAAAAATAAATAAGAACCCCCCCCCCCTCCCGTTTAAGTTAAGCTGGCGGTTCGTGACGTAGATTTGAACCACGGACACAGGTTTCTCACCCTTTCTTTCCTCCCTTCTTGCGGGACTCGGCAGGCGTGCTGGGGGGCGAGGGGGAGCGTCTCCTCTTCTTGCCGGCGGAGTTGGCCTTGCGCTCCTTGCGATCGGGTGTACGGGAAGACTGATCAGACAAACCCCGTGCAGCGCAGGGAGCGAGGGATGGAGGATGAGAGAAAGAGCCGCAGAATGAGAGGATGGAACGGTTGCACACACAAGGAGGGGAAGCGGCGGGAGAATGACTGCAGGGAGGGGGGAGGATGCCTTGGTGGGGGTGGGACGAGACAACCAGGGTTCACTGTCCTGTCTGCTTCAAAGTGGTGACGCGCGTCACAGCTTTGTGATCGCTCACCCACTTTGTTTTTAACCAAAACTACTGAGAAAACCTATTAAATGTTAACACAAATGATGAGGAGGAACAGGAACCCTGAAATTCATCAGGAGACAGTGAGAGCAAAGGTTTGAAGAGGGTGAGCAAAAATGAAGCCAGATGTGGACGAAGGAGGACAAACAAAGCACAAACCACAAAAGCAAAGACACACACTCACATGCAGCAAAAACTTCTTCTTGCAAAAGAAGCTCAGGCCCAAAAGAAACAAGTCAATCAAGCATTCATTCAGCACACAACGAGGATCCAGTGTTTGAGCAGTTTTAGACTGGCTTTGTCTCTTAGATGCAATAATTGGGAAACCGACTTTTTTAACCCTTGTGTATGCTCCCTGGGGTCATTAATGCCATGATGATCATGAATGACCCCTGGAAGACACGCCTGTTTAGGGTTTCCTGATGGACCGGAGCCAAAGTGGCACAAACACCTACCTCTTCCTCCTTGGGGAAGATCCTCTGTCGGAAGCTGAATGGCTTCTTGCTCTCGTCCACCTCATAGTCCTCCTCATTCATCCACTCATTGAAGGCATCTGTGTCTAAGACCCACTTGGCATGAACCTGGATGGGAGAAGGATAACGTTGTTTCGTTGATTATTTCTGGTAAGTGGCCTAAATGATAGTCATTCATCTTCACTGCAGGTTTTCCCTAATTCCCGAATGTCAAAACCTCAAAACCAAACATATCTGAAGCTGAGATTCAAAGTATTTCGCTCTTTAAGAAAAATGTGTCGGCATGTTTTGAATGGCATGGCTGAGTTACAAATCCAGGAAAATGTGAATAGTCCCACCTTCCAGGGTCTGTCAGTGCTGGGAGGGTCCTCCACATCGCCATCCACCTCACTGATCGATACCCAGGTGTCGTAGCTAAAAGGATGAAACGACAGAATCAAACAATGAAAGGGTGCACAGTCTAAAACCCTCCCCGCTAAGAACATAAGACCACGTATCACTATCTAAATGAATGAACTGCGTCTGTGGAGCGTCTCCGGAGCGCCTCTCGGCTCACCTGTCAGGATGGAGGCCCCAGTGAACCAGCACCTGCTTGTCTTTCCTCATGACGGGACGCAGCCACTCCTCTGCGAACACACACAGGGCCTCAGCGTTACTATTGTCAACACCTGTCTCTATGATCTACACAAAACTGTTTGTCCTGTCATTGCTTTGCGATGATGGGTCAACATGTTATTTTTGGTGCTTCTCAGAACCTTTATGTGACTCAGAAGTAGAACTCCTAATTCACAAAGAACCAACCTTCATCTTGCTGGGACAGAGAGGGATAAATATGGTGGGTGGCCTTTGATTTATCCTCGGTGATGGAGCCCTGAAGGGGACAGACATTAAAAGTGAATAAAGACAGAGACAGCAGCATTAGACAGTCCTCCGACTGATACGACCTTTGAGGAAAGCTCACCTGGTGCCTTTTGACGATGTCTTTGAGCTTACTGGCCTGTTTCTGCTCAATGTCCGACGACAGAAAGACGATCGGTCGAGTCAGACAGTTATTCTGCAATCGCACAAACACTGGTTAGAACTCGTCTTTAGAGGTATAGTTTGATTTTCGTGACCAGAAAAGTCTAACTCCTACCTGAACCAGGTTCTTCTCCACATTTAAGAACATTTCCACGTTCCTGTCCATCCGGGAAGGATTCTGTAGGTCGAACCTTCGCCTGAAAGTGATAATAAAAGATCAACTTTATTGATCCCCAGGGAAATTGTTCAGATACAACACAAAGACTAAATTTAAAACAATCACAAACGATTGAAAGTGAAAGTGTCTTAAGAGCAGAACCAGTCAACCCATGTAACCTCAATTTTTTCCAAACCACTATCAGCTAAAAAACTACTACAAGCATCTAAAAAGAGACGACAAGAAGTCTACTGATTCACAATCTACATGTAATGGAAATCAACTCACCACCCCTGCTCGCTTTTAAACTTGTACACAGAGCCCAAGATGTGACACAGAGCTCCTCCAGCCTTAAAATCCAGGAAGCATTTTGCCTAAAAAGAACAAGAATGCAACTGTAAGGTACAGCTAAAACGATTGCTTTCATCTTGGGGAGTTTGGAGGGTGTGCTCACGGGCAGCTTGGTAAGAGCAGGATTGTTGACCCTCCGTCCAAATGCATCCTCCTGGAACTGCAGCAACTGGACCACCAGGCCTCCCAGAGACTTACTGGAGGGGGAGTCATTCTGGACGTACTGTGATCAGTCGGAGATAAAAGCATTGATTAGCACACGTCAGTGACACACTACAGCGGATCAATGCACATGTTATACGTTTCAGTCTATATTCAAAATGATTTTACTAATATTTGATGATACTTTACAGAAGAGATAGCTTAAATGTTTCCAATTAAGCCTCAAAATGCATGCATATCTTCATGTTAAACCTCTTGAACTGCCCTGAGGTACTGAATCTCAAAATGAGAATACTCATATCATTCTAAAATATTTTCCTCATAATCACATCTGCAATTTTATTTGTACCCAATGAGAGGTCATGTTTTGCAAAGATTTGATTTGGTTGTCCAAGGACACTTGAGAAGAAGTCTTGAAAAAAACATTTTATTTTTTTAAATTATGTTCTACAGACTGAAGTGTGTTCATTCAGTATCTGTTAAGTGGAGAGGCACATCTCTAAATATACGAACACATTAACAAGATCAACTACATGGACAAATAAATCAAAATTAAACCATTTGAGAAACTGTTATAAATCAACAGGTCTGGCAATTTTGTAGCCTTGGACACATTTCCACAGGAAGCGATAAACTTCCTAATAAAAAATAAAAAGGCTGATGTTGAGGTCTGTTTTATTCCTGTTTTAATCCACACATATTCAATTGGATCTTTTCATTCAAACTTTTTTTAGTTTCTGTCTTTTAGACTGTGAGCAGTCCATGGCTGGTTGTGGGTTTGAGCATGAGAGGAAGACTCTTTGTTTGGGGAAGTTAGTGGGCGAGTCAAGTAGGAGCCTGGCATGCTCCTGTGTTGACAAATCCCATCAGAGTGCTCCTCTACACAACTTCTAAGTTATCTTAAATATGCACACACACTTATTTGACGATCGGTCGTGCAAAATAAGACCATTTATCATCTGCTAGAGGATGAAGGCAGGTTGGCTTCTGCAGGCTGTCCCGTGACTTTACCCTACGTTTTTGGGGCCTGCTCCTAAACCGATTGGACATTTCGCTCAATGCTTTGAAAATAGGATAAATTACAGATGTTGTTATTAATACTACATCAACAATTATTGCACCATTCAACGTCCGCTCTTTTGCAAACATCACCACATAGTGTGGTGTTACTAGCGATAATTGCTAAACGGTTAGCGAGCTAATGGTGGGCTAGCTAATTGACAAACAGCTTCAAGGCTATGCATTCAAACTTTGTTGGAGTTGTGGTAGATTATACACAAGCGCACCCAACTGCACACTGCGTAGGTTGAAAGGCACTGGTGATGAACTGTTAAGACCCGGGATCTAGATAGCACTAGCGGCCTCACGCTAACTGAAAACCAGCGCTCCATTGTGCTAGCGAGACGCGGGCCTTCATAGAAATCAATGGGGACCTAGCTCACCTTCTTGTAGTGCTTCCCAATCCACAGTCGCACTGTCTCCAGTTGGGATATCGTGTCTGAGCTTTCCCAAAATTTCGTAGAAGGTCCCCCGTCTTTCTTTCGTCCTACTGCGGTACTAACGCCGGCTTGGCCGGTGGCTGGTCCGCCAGAGCCCGCTCCGCCCGCCGTTGTCGCTGTCGTCGCCATTGTGTTTAGCTCGCTGCGTTGTCTTTCTCCTCCACGGCGTCCCTCACCGTGCAAGTTTTCGAATGATATTGCGCAGCCGCAGATGTGTAGAGATCGTTCAAGTCTCGCGAGAGTTGATGTTGATAATCTCATGGGTAATGTAGGCATGGGATTGTTTTTTTTCTTTGGGCTCTCTTTATTAAATCATTTACTGACCAGGAATCTTAACAAAGCTTTGGAATAAATAGTTTTTTATTTCAGTAGTAAGCACCTTCAACCATTTTAAATGTAACTTTTTAATCAAGGTGTGTTAACACAGGTTGTTTTTGTTTTGAAAAATATTTTCTGTGTATAACATGCTGGAAAAAAATGCGCAAAAATCTCAACTATCCATCCATCCATTTTCTGAACCGCTTATTCAAAAATGGGGTAGCTGGGGGACTGAAACCTATCCCAGTAGTTAATGAGTGAGAGGTGGGGTACACCCTGGACAGTCGGCCGGTCCATCGCAGGGTCACACAGAGACCCACAAGACGGACAACCACGCACACTCCTCAACTATCCATTAACAATGTACAGCAACAGAGCAGCAAGTGAGAATTCAAAAAGATCATTAAAGTGGTCAGTAATTAAAGCAGCTTTAATACGTCCATCTAGTCCCAGAGAAATATTTACCACTTTATGGATCTCTGCCAGTGCTACTAACAATACTCAATGAACAATATATTTCATTCTGTTTTATCCAATAAAATTTACACGAATATCAAGCCTCACCTTTCCTGCTAACCATAAAGTTTATGTACAGCATGAGTAATCATTGAAAGCTTGATATCACACCAGGAAGAGAGTTTTACTGTTTAATCACTTTTTGGAAACCTCAGCAGGAAATATGAGCATATTTACTCTGGTAACTCATTGTAAATGGTACACAACATAAATGGAGGAACCAAAAACTATAAACGGTAATAATCATTTCAAACTTTTCGCTCCTTGCTTGAGTTAGATTTGATTTAAGAAATTTGTTGTTTTTTTCCCCTGTGATTTTGTTTTCAGTCGTATCGGCCAGTGACCTGGTTTCATATGTTTTATGGTTTTTAGATAAAGTGGACATGGAGTTTTGAACCATGGGAGAAAAATATCCTCCACTTCCTGACCTGATTAAATTGCTGAACTGACCTGTATGCAGCACGTGTGATGATAAGAAGCCCATATAAATGCTTCTCTTAAATAGTGGCTCCTCATTTTACTCTGAGCATATTTCACAAGGTAAGGTACGTGCTTGTCCGATTCAGAAACAACGTTTTGCTGATGTTTCTCTCTTTTGTATCGTGCACTGAAAATTGATTTTGAAATATGTTTTGATTCTTTCCTCATTTCAGGGGACTGTTTGTGGGTCAAATCTATTGTTATTGTTATTGTGGCTGTCTGTTGTGTGAACCAGAACAATGAAACCTTATTCAGTCCTGCTTTTGCTGTTCTTTATGGGGTCAGTCTCCGCTTCTAAATATCGTAAGTATATGTCAAACATTAACAGAGATATTTTTAGAAAAATGCTTACTTAAAGGACATGAATTTAACTTTTAATGTATTTTTATTATATGGTTGCAGTTAAAGTTATTGCGTTTGTTATGACTAAATGGCTCCACTGATTCTCAGCTTGAAAGTGTGTATTTACATGTTAAATAAATTCTCGGATTCTTTTAAACTGATTCTCTTCACAGGTAACCTGGCCCTGTCTGGGAGAGCGACTCAGTCACATCAATGGAACAGTGCCCTTCTTCATGCCTCAAATGCTATTGATGGAAATCGTGATTCCCATCAAGCAACAGCATCATGTTCATCAACAATCCAACAAACCAACCCCTGGTGGAGGGTGGACCTGTTGGGGTCCTACATCATTACCTCCATCCATGTCACCAACAGAGGAGACTGCTGTGCAGGATACATCAATGGCGCTGAAATTCATGTTGGTAACTCCCTACGAGAAAACGGCGTCGTAAACCCAGTGTGAGTAAGCTTTACTTGTTACAACAACGGTGACTTTTACGAGATGAGATGAAGTTTGCACCATCTCCTCCTTCAAATCACACCATTTGGGTCTCATAGGAAGAATATTAATCATTGCGACATCATTGTTGAAGCCAAAGTGTCTCTTATACAGCTCTTTCCTCTGCGTACTGAGAGAATCCCTTTTAGTGACAATAGATGTATGATAATTTAAAGTTTCATGTCAATGATGATAATGTGTTAAAAAATAAGGTTTAATCCCAAATTAGACTATTTCCATTTGCGGGCGGAAAATACTGAAATATTCATTTCTCTCTTTGCTCGATGAGCACAATGTTAACAAATAGCAAAATGGGTTCACTATATGCAGGAAAATTCAGGCTCTTAATATTTCCCGAAGCACTTGACTCATGAGGAAAGAAATGAGAAATGCACACTATACTGTTTATAGTAAAGTTAGAGCAAGGATGACCCAAGCCTCCAACAAATAAACAGTTAAATCAATTTATGTAAAGAAATAATTAAGGGTACTTGTAGAAACGTGCAGCTGTGTGGAAAAGTGGAAAACAGTTGTGCAGATTTTTTCCTCCTACTCATTTATATATTCCCTTTCCTTGATATCCCCCCAGTTTATAGGTGTACGTTAACATGTAGGGAAGAATAAGCACTGAGCCAGATTTCCTTCATCTGCTGTCTGTTGTGTGCACATGCAAAAACATTTCTTGGTATAAGATACAGCACTAAACTGTTCAAAAACCTCAGTTTATTTTAATTCCTGCCAGCAATGTAACGTGAGGATTGAACTTTAAATTGGACCAGGTCCAGGTAATGTTCTCCTGAGGGGAAATTAAAGCAAACCTCTCTGTATTTTGTCTCTGTTTTAGGGTTGCTGTGATTCCTTCCATCCCACTTGGCAGAACTTTAGCTATAACCTTATCCAGAGAGGTGCGGGGTCGTTACGTGGTTGTAGTCCTGCCTGGTTCCGGAAGAATCCTGACCTTCTGTGAAGTGGAAGTCTATGGTTACCCTGTCCCAACTGGTGAGACCTGCACTGAGTCTCATCAGAAACAGAAACATTGCTTGTTAGATTATAAATCGTGGCCTAGCTGAGATTCTGAAATGTGTTGGTCTGGGGCAGGGAACCTGGCGGTTTACGGAAAAGCTTCCCAGTCGTCAGTGCACAGTGGAGGCGTTGCTTACTATGCCATCGATGGGAACCGCAACAGCTTCTGGGCCGAGGATTCTTGCAGCCTCACAGCGAACGACTTCTACCCCTGGTGGCGGCTGGACCTGGGCAGCACCCATAAGGTGTTTTCTGTAAACGTAACCAACTGCGCAGACGACGGACACAAACTGTTCATCAATGGAGCCGAAATTCGAATCGGAGATTCTCCAGAAAACAATGGAAACCTCAATCCAAGGTAGTCCATGTTCCACTTAGGTAAAAACTGTCCTCAGTAAACTGAGTTAATTATTGTAAGTTTAAGACTAACTCACAGAACATCAGTTTGTCACTTCTCTTTCGTCCATCAGAGAAGCCGTTGAAGGTTTCATCCTTTCCGTGTTCCCCTCACAGGTGTGCGGTGATCTCAGGAATTCCAGCAGGCTTCACTCAAAGCTTCCAGTGCAACGGGATGGACGGCCGGTACGTCAACATTGCCATTCCTGGAAGAGTCCAGCATCTGTGCCTGGCTGAGGTGGAGGTGTACGGCTCCAGACTGGACTGAGTCCGAAGACTCAAGTGGTCAGAATGATTGTATCCAAATGAATTCAAACGCTGAACTGTGGTGTGGGCAGCTGCACTTACATAACTGCCACCACTAGAGATCAGAAAAACCTCACAACTGGCTGAATGAGTGCCTGACCGAAGCAAAGGTTAGCAGTTGAATCCAGTCTTTATTCTGAAATATATGAATATGGCATATTGGGTAAAACAACACCTTTCAGTTAGTAGTAATACAGATAAATAATTAATAGGAGATATATATTCATTTAAAATGGCAGGTCAAAAGTCGCCAGATGTCTTGTTTCTACTCTAGGTTTTGCAATGAGGTGTTTAGTTTGATAAGTGCATGCTTGTTTTGGCCAGTTATTGCAACATACGCTGTAGCAGAGTGACCTCTGCAGGGCCGTGTGAAAAGCTGCTATCCAACGCTCAGCGTTTCTGCTGTTTGTTTGCACTGATGTGATTTTGTTTTAAAGCTGTATTGACTTTGGTTCAACTGTGTAGATTTCTAATAAGAAAATAGAAAAGTTGATTAAGCAAATCATCCTTTCTAAAAAAAACAAATAAACAGACAAGACAAAAAAGTAGTTGATCTTCTTTTTTTAACTCCCTCATCATTAGTTCCACTTTACTGAATTGCTTAATTTATTTTGGTTTTTAACCACCCAATATACGTGTATAAATTTGTACTTGCATCACATTTCCAGTCAAACTGACCACTCAAAGGGCTTTTCACTACATGCCATTTAACCACTCGCAGATTAGTGGAGGCACCCGGAAGCAACTTGGGGTTGAGTGCCTTGCCCAAGGGCTCGTGGACATGAGGCCTGGTGGAACGTGGAGTAGAACCGACCCTCTGATCAGTGACAACAGCAGCAGGCTGCACAGTTTGGACCTAAATGTAGCTGTGATCCTTATCGCTGTAGCAGTGAGCTTCCTGTTCTATTGGACTGTAAAAACTAAGTACGCGTTAAACTCAAGAAGATAATCAGATGCGTCAGATTTGTAGGAGGGTGCGAGTGAGAGAGTTGAAGCCACACATTTTCAGAAGAAGCTGTTTTCTCCGCCTGCCTGTTGATGAAGTGTCCGGGTAATGAGAGCTCCAAATAATTCAACGTAATAACCCACTAAAACTCACCGGTGGGTTTCCAATTTTCCAAAAAGTCTGACTTTGGTTTGTCAGATCGAAATTCACGACAGGGACAGGGCAGTGGTGCTCATGGGACTTTTTTTATTTTCGTAAATACAGACAAAATAGATACTATAAAAACATCTGAAACATAACTGGGCCTGCAACGCAAATGCTCTGTACAGGTCAAAGTGTTTGGAGAATCGAACAACCGTGGCCGTCCTTCAAACTACTAACAAGGTTGCTGCACAGTGAGGCTTCACGCGGGAACAAAGAAAGTCAGAAACGATTTGTTCGACGCTCGCTCAGGCACGTTTTTCTCATTCCGTCTCACAAGTTCTTTAAGGTAAAAATTCAAAGCAAACCAACAACAATCGCATGGAACATTTGACAGGCGGTGAATAATTTTCCGGCCGTTTGTAGTACAGTGAAGGAGAAAATCTGAAGAGTAATGGCCGTCTCTTCAATATGCCGCAGAGGCTTAAAAAAAAAAAAAAAGAAAAAGTCCGGCTCTCCAAAATCACATCTTCCTTGTTTTTGTGGATTCTTTCTTATGCTTTTCTGTGATCTCTGGTTATCTGCAGTTTTTTTTTTTAACTGTATTCAAATAAGTAGTTAAGTCACTTCCTGGAAACTTCCTGTAATGTTCAAAAGTCTTGAGCAATGGTTCTCTGTCCTTTATAAAAGATCTACTTTTGGCTCCTTTTCAGCTCCTTTTCAATCCTTGTACTGGACCATTTTAAGAGGAGAGTTTTTCCTTTTGATACACCACTTAACACTTATTCAAACACAAAAGAAGGCACTTAACTAACAGGATAAACCACTTTTCTATCTATAAAGAACAGACAGCCTAGCAAAGAGCACATTTTGTCAAAATTTGTTCTATTTCTGCATTGTTGAACTATTTCCCCAATGAGGGACTAATAAAAGATTAATCTATTCTTTTACTGGAGTCTTATCATTACTATCAAGCGGGCACCAATGGCTGCAAAGAAATGATGGTCAGTGGCTCTTTTTCAAAATAAAACCAGTCAGACCCAGTTGCTTGGAAAAAACAACAACAAAAAAGGCTTTGTTTACAGCTTTGTTTGGCTGGACGAAAGGGAAACACAAAAGCTAAAATGACCTCACCTGTAACGAGACTCAAAGCACTGAACTCAGAACCAGGAAATGACACGAAGAGCACGACAATTTGGAAACTTTTTACACACGAGAGCCACAACTTTAAGTCTGAGACGCAGACCCCCTGTTCAGACCTGGTGCTACAGGGATCCTGAACGGTCCAGTCTTTGAGCGGTCTGAGGCCCTCTGAGGAACCACCTGCTGGTCTTAAGTATGACTGACGGAGACCCTCCCGCTCGCCTTTTTATCTCCATTTCTGCACCGACTGCAAAAACAAAGCAGCTGTCAGCCACAGAACGGCGGAGCTGCCTTTTAATGGGCGGACTCCATTCCCTGCTACATGTTTGTGAGTTGTGAGTGGCTCGGCTCACTCAGGATGCACCGTTACACCAAATGTGAACAGGCTCATAGAGATCAGTGATTTCCTGACAGAAAAGTGGCTGCTATCTATCCCTTAGTGGCTAATTTTCACTATATGTCACTGGATAAACATCATCAAACATTTATGCTCTAAAAGGAGTGCCTATCCTTAAGATTGTACATCAGTGTCAGAGCTTTGCGCGGCTTGGGTTGGCTGTTACAGGGTTCACAGGTACCTATCGATCATCTTTTATGTGCTACAGTATTCTGGAAATGCAGCTTTAATAACAAAACTTCCTTTGGCAATTAAGAACAATTCAAGAAGCACAAAGAATCTACAAAGAATGCTTTTTTAGTTGGATCAGGGCAGTCTGAATAAACCCTGTTTTGTTTTGGCCATTAAAAACTTGTATGTATAAGTAGGAAGAGCGGCTTATCTTTCTCTCTCTCAGGTGAAATTCCATTAAAACCTTTCTGAATACATTCAGCCTAAATAACACTGTACGATATGAATCAGATTTGAAAAGCTTCCAAAAACAGGGCAGAATCTTCCACCTATGAGTCCGAAGACCCAAAACAGAAATAAAACAAATAAATTATAAAAATAGTACCACAGAAAAAATCTTTTCACTGTGCATATCTATAGAAGAAGTCCGCAGCTGTCGGCTTTGCAAAGGCTATTGCTTCACAGTAAAGTGGACATCTGTGATTGGTCCAAAAAGACAAAGTGGACTTCTGAAGTAACTAACATCACAGTAAAAAGTAACACTGATGGATGAACAGCATCCTTTGGAACAGGGCATAAGAAACAGAAACGATCCACTAGACTAAAAGAGAGGCAATGACACCGTTTTGGCTTCAGCTGGGAACTGACCGGGGTCAGAGGGTCACAGGGAGGCAGCAAAACCAACAGCTGCTCACATTTTGTCAGCTGTGAGGACACAGCCGTGGTCAGGCTCATGGCGTGTGGTTTGTGGTGTAAAACGAGTGGGGGGGGGGCAACCGGAAAGAAGTGTTAGGAAGTATAAGCCTGGTGAAGTCCAGTGGGTCCAGGGATGTTATCTGAGATCTTTAGAGGCTTTAGACACTCTGAGAACTTTATAAATGTCATTGAAAAAGACCGTGGTGAAGTGGGGCCGTGAGTTCCTGGACATTTGGGTGCAGAGGGGGGTTTTACCCACGTTTTGCGGGTCCTCGATGTCCCAGATCTCCGGCATGCTGCAGCCAGGCCTAGAAGACAGAACAGAATGAGGGAGCCGGACGGAAGACCGTTTTTGCTTGCTGCGCGGTAGCCCTAACAAGCCGGTACCTGGTTCGCCTGGTGCACCAGGAGTCCTCCAGGATGAAGTAGTCCACTCCCAGCTGAACCAGGTTCCGCTTCACAGCTTCTCCAGACATCCGGCTGTACATGGAGTACACCAGCTTGGTTCTCTCCCTGCAAAGAACAAAGAGCTTTCACAGATCTAAATTTCAAAAGATAAGACTTTCAGATTACGACTTAGCAGGTGTGGAGACTTCTAAAACATTCAGCAAGTGTACCATTTACAGAAAAGATTATAAACCTTTCTACCAGCTGTTTAAAAAAAAAGCAACATGTTTTTTCATGGGTCAACTGTGCACGATGGGCCTGAACATAGAAGACATAGAAGAAACACACAAAGTGCTGCTGGTGGGACATCCGTTTTGCAATCCAAACCGAAATAAGATTGAGCACAAATGACTTTTCCGTACCGAGAACAACTAGGGGCACCGGTTTGTGCAGAGATTAAACCTGCTGCAGATCTAGCCTGACAGGAGCGGTGCTGAGGAAGAACCTCAATTTGGAGGCCTGCCAGCCGGCAGCATTTCAGTCTTTTGTGTCTTTCTTCACAATAAAACACAACGCACAGAATGCGGCAGAGCAGACCTGAGACCTGCGTCTTCGTAGTGGGGGTGGTTGACGATGGGTCGACCAGTGGAAAGCTTCACGCTGGCCATGGTGGGCATTGCTCCGGCGAACACGGAATCTGGGCCAATCACACACAAAACAAAAGATCAGCAGGGCAGCCAACACTAATGCATCTTTAGGTAGTGGATACTTTGTCTAATAAAACCACAGAGAGTTTTATTTAGTTATCAGAACAACATACAAGAGTCAGTCTAAAACTATTTCTAAGACGATTAGACTGTTGTTTGCATTCCCAGAAAAACTAAACTAGCATTTAAAGTCTCAAATGCGATGAGTTTAAATAGTTTTGCTAAAAATTAGGTTTAGGATTTATCTGTAGTGATTACAGATAAAGGGGACATTTATTTAGGGAACACTTGAGTGACACTGTGGGCGAGCTCATGTACCAGGACGGGTGTTTTCCTGGATCCAGTCCAGCAGCTCCTCCTGTGGCAGGTTGCTGAACTCTCCGATGATCGCCCACTGGGCCTGCAGGTTGGCCACGCCCTGTACGGCCATCATGGCCAGCAGCGCAAACACCACCATCTGATGCTTCAGCTTCTCCCCGATCCAACCAAACAGCTGACAAAAGCACGGCGAGAGAGCATCCCCATTTATTTAAACCCGTCAACAAGTAATTAAGGCCGTTTGTAGGGTTTTAGGACCTGGTTGGAGACAAGAAACACACCTGTTTCGAGCACACCAGTGATGCCATGATGCACATGTGGGGCGTCAGGAAGAGCTTCAGACGCATGATGAGGATGGCGAGGAGCGCAAACGCCACCAGCTGCAGGCTGTGGTACACCAGCTGTGGAAGCAAATGTAAAAACAAGGATTTCTATAAGTCACTTCAGACCAGTTTCCCTTTCACACACTCATACGGCACTTTTTTATGTAAAAATGTCCTCTGAAAGCATCCTGCACAGCCTAAAACCTTCTGCGAGCCTTTCTGATTGGGCCGCTCCAACTCTAATGCTCAGAGAAAAGCTGAATGTAAATTAGACAGGATGTGTCTGTGTGTGTGCACTTAATGAAAATGGATTTTTACTTAGGCAAAGTGATTCTGCTCAAATGTCAATTTACTGCTAAAATGTAATATACTGAGTAAAGGGGCTGGCAAAAACAAACCCACATTCCTTTTTTGCTCAGTTTTTGCATTTTGTTTTGGCAATCCTAGCAGCACGGACTCCCAAAATCTTAAGACTGGGAGAGAAACTACATGAATTGGAATGAACCACATGCCACTTACTCCATGCTGGATTCATGTTACATGGCCTGAACTCAAATCCAAAGAATTTAAATCCATGTTCACAGTCCTGTGATGATATTATGAGATGTATCCTTTTGTCAAAAAGCTGTCAAACTGAACAGTGGCAAGCTTTAATCCAAAACGTATTTTTTTAAAAAGTAGAAAAAGCAGGGTTACAGAGTGTCGCTTTCACAGACATACGGAGACATTAAAGTTATTATTTGAGAAATCTGCTGCTGGTGGATGAACATCTGAGCACTTTTCTGCCCAGGGAAAAAGCTGAGTTTAAAGAAAATGACAGAAAGAAGCTGGCAGTAATCTGTTTAAAAGGAACCAGGATGGGATTTACCAGCAGAAGAGAAACTGCCTTTCATTTCTTCACAATGGGAAGACAGAGGGAAAGCCCTCTGGAACTAAGCCACCGAGCAGGCGTCCCGTAGAAAAATATCAATAAACCACATTTAAAAAGTGAGCAGTGCTGTAAAAACAAAACAATAAAAAGGATACCGAAGGCTTTTCTCACCTCTCCTTTAGCTGCTATTTCAGCCCTGCAACACAGAGCACATTACGAGTAAAACATCTACCCACACTTGTGGAAATATGCATTACACCGATCAGCCGTAACTTTATGACCCCCTGCCTCTGCTTTGACCAGCCAAGTTTTGCTCAAACCGCATCTGAAAGTGTACCTGGATCCTTTTGAACCTGTGGGGATCTTCATGTGTAGGGCTCATCTCCACAGATTCTGTCAGATCCCATCAGATAAACATTGTGAGAGTTTGGGGAACATCTCAGGCTCTTTAACACCCTTTGTGAACCCATCCTAAGCTGTTCTTTCCTGGCTCTGTGCTGTCCCTCTGAAGTAAGCTGGGCCTCCATACTGTACAGAGGTACCACTACTGGTCCAGGTTTTCCCAGTATAAGGCCAGATTGAGTGGGGTTGCGCGCTGTATCTGTCAGCGGTCATAATGTTATGGCTGATATTTTTCAATATTTTACTGAATTATAGAAAGGGTAACCTCACCCCACAGATTCATCAACCTCATCGGTCTTTGTAAAGCTGTTCCTTCCATGCCTCAGGGTATGGACAATATCCTTGACAGTCTGAGGAGGACAACTGGTTACAACAAAATGGAGGAGAAGTCCTTCTTTCTGTCGTGTTTCCAGCTCCGCAACACAGAATTTTTGTATGTGAAGATGTTCCTAAAGAGGCCCTTGCTCATGCTCTGCCTGCTGAACTCTGCCAAATCGATTAATGCATCCTCAGCTCAGCGTGGGTGAGGCATAAAAAGATTAAACTAAAGAAAGAGCCGTTCCTAAAATATTTCTCACTGAGGTTTTGAAATACATTTATTACACAGGAAACAGGAATAAGCCTCTGCTCTTTTTTTGCCCGAGAAATCATCGTATGCATCAGCACCACACAACATAAAGTCCAGCTATTTAGGGCCACTTTTCCCTTTCTTGCATGTTATTCACATTTTCTAGGTCAAATAGAGCACACGTTGATGACAGAGACATGCTCACTTTACCGGACAACGAGACTCACCTTTCCAACAATGACAGCAACTACCAACAAGATGACAGGAAGTAGCAACGTTCTCAGGTAACGGACCGGTGTCTGAGGGCGGGGGGAGGCAGGGACATGGGGAGAAAAGATGGGGCCATTACCACATGAGGTTTAAGAGGGGAAAAAAACAACAAACATTCACAGAATCCATCACAAACCATTCTTCATTCATACGGCTCCTGTCTCACAGGATGAAAAGAATAAATCTAATTAAAAAAAGACACTAATAAGGACACTAATTCACTTTTTAAGTAAAAGTTTCAAGTGTTAACAGGAAAAATTAAACATATAACAGGACAACATAAAAGTCTTTTGAGTAATTTTTCCTTTGTGATAAAAAAGATCAGTGCTTTCAGTTAACATCAATCAAATTCTGAAATCATTGCTTCGTTCCCGTCAAACTGAGAAGTGCTGCTCACAGCAGAAGAATCGTGCCACGCTGTGGGGCCAAACCTCTGCTCGTAATGAGCTGCCAGGTTTTCCTGTCAGGTTGTTGTTTCCTGTCAGCAAAGCTCTGGTTTAAATCTACACTCAGACACACAGCCGCAGGGATTTTGATGTTTCTGACATTTAGAAGAAAAAAAAAAAAGAACAGGGAGCAGAGTGGTGTTTTGATGAGATGTTTACACTGAACCGCCTCGGACTTGCATGTGATCAGAAAGGGCTTTAGCCTGCAGAGTTACTGGGATGAGATATCACCAGTTAGCAGCTGACAGATCAATGCCAGCGCTGCCTGAAACACAGAAAAGCTACCTCAAACTCCATGAAGTCAAACTCAGCGGCGCACGTGTACATGAGCGTGTGGAAGTCTTGGTAGCTTGTGAATTTAGACTTGATCAATCCACTGATGTGAGCCTGAAACAGAGAACACATTATTTTCACAAGACTGATTGCTATTCTGATTGTAGATTACTTTAAAGTTATTGTTTGTGAGACAATTCTATTGTAAAGGTGTGTCTTTTGTAATAGAAACTAAATTATCTACAGCAAATTTAACATCCACACGTTCAATCCAGCTTTCACCACTCAAAGATATACTATAACTTTTAAATCCTTATAAAGTCCTTTTTTTACGCAATTACTCGGTGTATTGGTAGGCATAAAGTTACAGTAGCTTACATCATCAGATGCACCGAGGACGGTAGAGAGCATAAATTTGAGTAAAACTGTGGAGACAACCCAAGCCAGCCCCTGCATCGCCTGTGGAGTAATAAGAGAAACACACATTTATTTACCTCAGTCTACACTTATATTGATGGTATTTTACATTAGATTAATTTTTAAAAATGTTCTTATCGTAAAAAAAAACCCCTCTGAACTTTCTAAGCATCTTCATTTACTGATTATCAATGATGATAAGTGGATATTTTTTCCCAGCATTTACATGCCATGAACAGGATAAACACGTTTTCAATTTACGACTTTAAAACAGAAAGTGCAAGAGAGTTTTACATGCTTTAGAATATGATGACATGATATGAAAGCTAAAACGAGTTGCATTCAAACCTGCAAACGGTATAACTTGAAATTTTAAACTCTTGCCATTAAGATTTCAACAGAACAGAAACAACTACATTCTTCATACCCAGATGACGAGACCAGGTTTGAACACTTGAATAAATCGATCCCTCAAAGCAATGATGACCTAAAGGAAAATAAAGCATAGAAAATCACACTTCTAAAAACAAGCATCTCCACTGTTTCTCAACAACACATTTACTGTTTAGGACTTGTTTAAGACCACGGGTATGTACGAGGGAGGCCACAGTCAAACTCACCCAGATGGATACGAGTGAGGAGGCGTAGAAAGAAGTCAGAAGCATGGAGTTACCAAACATCAGGACGAAGCAGACACCAAGAGTGACCTGAAGGAGAGATGTTAGTCATTACAACCCTGCTATGTGCTCACTGAGGACCGCGCAGAGCCGCCATTCCTGCAGCTCCATGACCCGTCTGCAGAATTACAAACAACTGAGCATGGGACTGACAGTTATCCGCGGCTCAGCCAGCCTCTGTGGTTTCCAGCACGCTCACAGACAGCTGACTGCTTCTAACCCCTCTGCCTCAGCACAGGGAGAGGGTGGTCTGAGATATCCGCATTAGACATCAATAATACATATAACAAACGCATTAAACTGTGAATTTACAGCCATGAGCACAACATAATCCAATTCAGTGAAGTCTTAATACCTAATCCCAGTGTGCAGCCGAACACTGAATTACTCTGCATTATGGAAACACTGTACGGACCAATAGTCACGCTGCACTTCTGCAGCAGCCTGCAGGTTTTTGAAAATGAGCAAAGAACACCTCTCCATGCTTAAAAGAGGTGCGGACGTGAACCCCTTCTGCTTCAATGCGGCGAGGGACATAACAGAGGCATTTCTTTCAACTGCAGTAAAACACAGAGGAGGCATCACTAAGTAGCTCTTACATTATGCTAATGGGCTTCTGTTTGGTGGAGGAATGTTTTAAAACGGGCAGACTGGATGAGAAACATCTCTACAAAGACACATAATGAAAAAAAAGGAATTTTCACTTGGACCTCCTCTGTGAATTAACAGAGAATAACCATAATATGTGGCTACTTTGAAAGCCTAGAGTCTGTGGACTTGGCGCTAGAGAACCCTGGGTTTAAATGGCTGATAAAGACTTGTACAATACTAAAACTTTAACACTCAGGCTATTGGGAGCAGTTGGTGGGGTGAGGTCATAACAATAAGTTAGCAAAAAGCACTGGGAGACCACAAACCAGGAACTTTCTGGTTATTGTGAAACATTTAATAATGTAGCCAAATTCAATTATTTTTCTCAGTTTCAAGCTAGCGTGTTTTTATTTTTCAAGGCTCCTCAGTAAGGCTGGATGATATATAAAATATTAACATCTGTTATATGAATGTCAAGCTATAAATCAAATAGCATTGACACATTAATGAGCGCTGCATTCCAATTAGAGGAAGCTGGGCCAAATACAAATACTCAAATACATACATATATTCAATACAATATTTAATTATAAGCAGTAGTAGACACAGCACACACGAGTTGTGTTCCCGGTCTTTTATTAAACACACTAAAGTAATATTAGCTGATTGTGTGTCTTAATCTGACAAAAAGAGTCTGTGTGAATCTGTGCAACACACCGGCTGTTTTGAAGGGAAAGAATCTGGACAGGAGGGATAAACAGCCTGGGCAACACACATACCGCTAACGCAGTCCTCCCAAGCTGGGACTGTCCTTGGCAGTGTGAAAGTAGCTGCCCACACACATGCAGCATTTCATGCTAAAAAGGCCCTTGTCCATGTACTAATAAAAACTGTCCCCTGTCCAGTCAGTCACGAGATAAAAGCACCACAAACGCTGACAATGAATGATGTAAGTACCATATGAGTGACCAGGATGAACTGCATCTTGGCAGGGGCCAGGTATCCCAGGATGTATGATGCAAACAGAGAGGCCACCTGAAAAACACAGAGGAGAGAGTTTGAACAACGCGTCGTAACTAAAACGTGACACAAACTGTTGAGACGGTCGAGACACAAACTGCTGCTGTGTCTTAATGAATTGAGCAGTCACATTTCTCAAATCCACACCCAGAACCAAACTGCTCCCAGTTAGGAAGTTACAATTTCCTTCAGCTGAGTGTTGATTACTTAAAGAAACTTCAAAGTAGATATTGAAAATAACATGGTGTTATTCTGATAAAAAAATAAAAAGGATGGATTTTTTCAGGACTTCTTCATCTCTTTCTCTGGCAGAAAATGTGTTGCCAAGGACACGTTGTCTAGGATGAGTTACCAAGGATACCGACAGGTTCAAGCTCAAGCTGCAGGGAGTCAGAGGGAAGTGATTTGTACTTAGAGTTATCATCCACTCATTTTCTGGTGCCAATCTTCACCCACTGGACACTAAATGGAAACTATTAGGCAAAAAGGGATTTTAAAGGCTGAAATGGTCTCCTATCTCAAACTCATTCTGCAGAACTGTCAGATGTAACCACACTTCTTACAGAGGGCGAATTCTGCACGGATAAATGTTTGCACCGACTACCTCTGATCAACAGAAATTGTTCGGGATCACAGGAATATCTTGCAAATCGAATCTGTTTTAGTTTTAAAATAACCTCTAACCTTATATCTTTCCTTATTTATTAAGACTGGAGAGGCATATCCTTGTTTTAACCATTTCCTGTCATGAAATGCTTCAGTAATATTTATTATACCTCAGATTGTGCTAAATTACCCCAAACGAAAGCCTGTGACAATGTCTATTCATTCGTATTGCACTTTGTTCACTTCACACTTCACATAATGCCTTCATCCATCTACAAACCAATCTAACACTAAAAGACAAAGCGTGACAAGCTGAACAACTTTAGGTTGAGACGCCTGTCTGAGAATATGTAAATGAGATGGGAGCTGAGCATCTGTCTTATTCTACGGCTTTCAGTCCTTAAAAATTTAAATGTTAATGCTATTCCTTCAGTTACTGATGCTTTAATGCGTTAAATAAAAAAATTAATTCAATCAAAGCATTTTATACTGTGCAAAAATGAATTTTCTTTGTTTCTTTTTTCTTTGTACCGTATGACAGCTGAGACAGGCTCCAGCCCCCTGTGACCCTCAAGTGGAGTAAGTGGTTGTAGAAAATTGTATGATTTTAATAGAAATTATACTGAATTTAAAAATATATACATTTAAAAAACGCATGTGATTAGTCTAGTTGCAAAGTCTTTTCAACAGTCTGTATACACATGTTAAATGGGTAAATCTGACATTTTTGAAGACCCTGATGCCTCCCTCTGTGGAGCGATGACTAAGCAGCGTGGGTGGACGTGTTTGGCCTTGAACCACATTTGCAGTGGATGTGTTGAAGGGGTATAATTAGCGCCTTTCAAATGAAAAACAACAAATTCATTGCTGGGAATAAACTTGTCATGTGTTAAGATCCCTCTGCAAAAAGCAGCCATGCCTTCGGGGGGCCGCACCGGCCCTGGCTGAACGGTTGCCAACGAGATGCTTGCAGCAGTGACCTGTTTTTCCTGGAGATATGACGCAGCAGTGTGCCAGCCGTCGTGCTTTAACTTCTTCACTCCCACTTTAATCTGTCCACTTCAGTCTTTCCATTTAAACATCTACTTTGGATTTTATGTTTATGTCTATAAAGGAGAAAGCCCAAAGGAATGAAGATGCACATGTCTCTTACGCCTGCTACTTTTCTTATCCCTTGCCTGTGCCCTAACGGTCTTTTTCTCCTCTTTATTTCTCTCTTATCATGTCCAACACCTGCACTCGCTTCATCTTCCTATCCAGACTCGGCTGTTTTGCTACCAGACCATATTTTCTATCTCACCACCAGCTCTCCTCTCTTCCCACCTTCGTTCACCATGTTGGTCGAGCTCTCTTTTTACCTGAGTGAGCAGTACAAACTGGGCGAACTGCCAGGGCAGCATAAAGCACAAATTGGAGATGCCCAGTGCGACCATGGCTGTCCTGTTCGGGTTTCGTGTCCTGGGGAAGAGAAGAAAAAAAATAAAAACAGCATAGTGGTTCACGTTTTTTTGGAAAAGCAGATAAGAGCAGCTGCATTAAGATGACTGAGAAAAAAACGCCGATCCTCAACCTCAGGCCCACATTTAATCTGCCTCTAAAAATACAACAGAGACCTCATTATGCATCGCGACAGTCTTGGGCATGAAACAGAGATCATTCTGAGCTTACTGTAAAGCTGATGGTTTCCTAACTCACACAGCATAAGGTGTCACTCACAAGCGGTTAGAATATGGCAGGAATATGTCTCACATCCTTCAGTGCTGTAGCTCACCAAAGAGCTCACTTCAGGGAGCCTTGTTGGCTCCTCCAAAGCACATTTTCAAGCACTGCTGTAATTGGATATGGGGAGAGTAAATCCCAACCACTGCAACACGCAGTTTTTCTGCTACAAAGACACAGTTCTGATGTTATTTATATCAAACCTTCTGGTATACACTCACCAGGCACCACATTTACACCTGACAGCAGTGCATTCCATTTAAATCCTGTAAATGTTTGCAGGAGCTAGAACTCAATTTTTCTCTCTTTTAATCATATTCAGAAAACAATGGAAGGTTAATGGAGATACTCTGAATCTATAAAAGCAAAGAACTGCCACCAATGTACAAAAACATTAGACGCGCATCTGGAAGAAGCACTATTGTTCATGGGGGGACTGAAAGAACACTTAAAACTGACATGATTCCCTGTCTGAGACATTAATGTGACTGGCCATGTTCACAGGTGTGAAATAAAATCCCAGATTACAGTATCTGGGCTGATGAACAGCTCTTTTGTGGATGTCCACTGCAGTCTCAGACTCATGACATCACGAGAGCAAAGGGAGGAGTGAAATAGCGTTAGTGTGTTTCTTCTTGATAAGGTGCTCAGTGAAGTTTGTGGCAAAGGTACTAGAAATGTACTTAAACCCATATTGAGAATCGGGGTTATAAAACAGATGAGACCCAGAGGGTGTGCTTACCGTAGAATGTAGGTAAGAAGCAGCATCTGCAGGACCAGGAACGGGTATGCAAAGCTCTCCCTGAGGGGCGGCGTCCACATCACACGGGTGCTCTGATTCCATGCAAGAGACCAGGGTAAATAAATCAGTAAACAGCAAGTAGCTACAAAAATATCCACGACAGGGGATCTGCTTTACCATGTTAAGAAATGGGAAAAAGCTAGATACCAGTATGTCTTATTGAGGATCAGTTATGGATGGTTTGACTAATTAAAACAAGCACATTTAAGTCATTTTTACACAAACAGTGAGGACCTGAACTCTTCAGAGGTGAATGTGATAGGTGCTAATAACGTGCTTATTATATTCTAAATTATAATTCGCTTTTATTTTTGATGGGACAAACAGATCTAGACCATCTACTTTTGTGCTGACTTTAGTGTTTCTCTCCACTCGCTATTGATGATGTGGAAATGCATCTGGATCTTGAGCACCGAAAGTAATCAAGGAGCCCTGTGCTCCCCTGTCCTATTTCGGTGTGCTGTAAATCGTTTTTTTCACCCCCCCCCTTGGTTGGTTGCAGTTGACAGACACTTCCTCACAGCCTAAATCATGTTTCACGCTGCAGAGGAGGTCTCCAGCAGTAAATCCCCACTGCGGAGAACATGGACCAGACTGGCTGCGTATACTCCTGAAAGTCTCAGGTGTTTTCGAAGTGAGAAGCCGGTTTGTGCAATGTCTTCACGGATATATCAAACTCCTGCTGCGCTCAGCAGACTAACAGACAAAGGATGTCTGAAACAGAAATATGTGTGATGAGCTCAAGGCCCTGCTTTGCCATTTGTTCAGAAGAAAACTTGAGAGAAATTGGATTTAGGGACTAACAGAAGACTTCTTAGAAAAATCATCTCTCGGCTCATTTCAGTGATAAAATTAGCTCCTTTTAATCACCCACTGCTTTCATAAATGCTTCTGTATTGGCTGTTAAAGGTTAAGCACTGAATAAATCGTGCTACGTTACTAAGTCGGAGCTTTTGTTTTAATGTCATTTACAGAACGGTACACTCACCTCACCGTGATTGAAGAAAAAACACACCGTGGTAACAATTCCTCCCAGTCGACTCCCACTAGTGATAAAAAAAATGAGAGAGACCATGGGAGAAGTAAGATAAGTGAGGCAGAGAGACAGAGCCAGAGGAAGGTCATCCTTTATATGATCTTTTATCTATAAAGCTGGCAGAGACATTAGATAAATGGTCTTTGCCTGACACCTCACTGATGAAATGCACTATTAAAAATCTTCTCCCCTTCTCTTCTGTGCCCATCCGAGTGTGACTAGACAAAACAAGAGGGTGTTATGGACTGACCTGAGGTAGGCGCCGTAAATGAAGAACAGGCTCATCATTGCACCGTTCAGCAGGAACACAAAGGTTACGTAAAAGTATGCCGGGTCACCCATTCCTGAAGAAGACAGCGCAACAGTTTGACGCAGGCACCCGATTGGTCTGGGCTCCTGAGGACCGACGTGTGCATCGGTCACGCAGACACTGAGCAAACCATGTGTGAGAGGGACTGAAAGCTGCTGGACAGAGATTGGCAGCACCCACTGGGTGTTTCAGCTGCTTCAGGAGGCTCAAAACACGAACAAAAACACTCAGAGACGGTTTCTATAAAAGGGCCGTAGCCCGGTTAAATGGTAACTCTTGACACTATTGTGTGTCGTTCAATAAAAAAAATCTTATGTGTCTTATCAATACAATTCATACCAGTTCAATAACCATACATATCTGTATATAGTGTTACATATTCTTCTGATAAATGCATGCCTTGTTTAGTTATTTATTTTGTTATTTATGCAAGACTTTGGACTGAGGAGAGGGCTGTGGCCCCATTTTGTTGTGTTGGTGTACACTGTATGAATGTGCAATGACAATAAAGACTCTTAAAATCTTAAAAATGCAATTAAAAGCTGTAATAATCCTCAGACTGTCACAGCTCTAAAGACGAACTACGCGCTCACCAGCAGTAGTTGGACATGATCAAAACAGAAGGAGGTTTTTCAAAGGCTTCCCACAGATATTGCGGACAACAAATGAACTTCATCCCACGGTTCATTAAAACGTCGTACACACCAACGACCAACGTGGTCCTGATCACTAACAAGGTATTTGGGGTTGTGTAGCCATCATCAGAAGCTGCTTCATCTCTGTAATGTTAAGAGTTAATGAGTGGACAAACAGAAGAGCGTTGCTCCTGTTTTGCAAATGTGATGCAGATTCCACTCGCTCTAACGCCGTTTTTCGAAATGGCACAAAAATAATGAGCTGGCTCCCTGTAACAGGAAACACAGGGCTGCTCTCATCAGGTTAAATAAACACAGTGAAAAACAGCCTGCTTACAGCGACCCGGGGGGCGCTTCCGCTAATGACGCTGACAGAAACACGAGACTGCAGCCCCGAAAAGGAGAGCTGACAACAGACTTTGTGTTTAACTCACCGGATTAAACCATCCAGGAAATATTCCTGCAGAAAGACTGGAAAATGTCCGTGTGTAATAGGTTTAAAGCACATCTCGTCCCATCGGGGAGGCCTGCTTACACATGCTGTGTAATGAGCCACGTGTCTTAACTTTGTATGCTTTTCTGAGCTCTAGTTTTAAATCTCAATTCACCTGTTCAGTGACTTAAATCAGTATTTAAGTGGGATAATTGAATCAAAGCGCTTTTTAAGCATTTGCCAAAACATCCCTGACCAGTCTGTGGGTTTACCTGATTCTTTGGAGGCTGCTGAGTATAAAGAGACATGCTTAAACATTTTAAAAGGCGTGTGTTTTTCAGAGGAGTCCGTGTTTTTTTTTCTCCAACACTAACAGAGCTGCTATTGACTACATTTGGTGATAAATTTCTATGTTAAAAAATGTCGGGTCTAAGTGTTAAAAAAGTTATTTCAGTCTGAAGCAGCAACTCTGAATTAAAACTGGTTAATTCACTTCTGCAAGAGAAATATGCTTCTCTTTTTCCATTCCATCTTTCTTAAGTAGGCTGTTTATGCATTTTAAAATACGTTTCAACAGCTCTGAAGCCGTTTGCCTGTGCACTGCAGCACACAGTTTGCAGCACACACACATGCACAAAACGAATGTTTGCAGTTCTGACTGGGGCTCCGTGGCGACAGAGTTTACCTTCACAGCTGTCCACCGGGCTGAGTCCCTCTCCTCTGTTGATAGACCAGCACATCTTGGTGGGAATCCCAAAGAAGCTCATTGCACCTGTGTACATGCGGTACCAGCTGGCCAGCACCACCTGAGGACAAGCAGCAGCCAGCAGTGAAAAGCCTGTTCAAACATCGCAATACGTCGGTGTCCTGCAGAGACCAGATTAAACAGGGAGCCCATCACTGTCCTCCCTGTCAATGTGAAACACTTAAAATACTAAAAATAACCTTTATGCACAAAGGTTATTTATATTCAGTCCATTTAATGGCCATGCAGAATTTGTTTTAAATCTCACGAACAATGAAAAGCCACACAGTCTGAATTAAAGATAAGATAGTTACATGAAGCCGCCTGTCCACCACATTGAGAACGAAGCCTAACTTTGACTCTTTTAGTCAAAGCCTGACAGGATTTCAGTCCATTGTGTGCACATGAAGTAGAGCAGTAGCCATTATGACCTTCAAAAAGAATTTCCGAGCTCCTGATTCAAACACATTTTAATTACCTCTGGATAGAGATTGAATCTCTTCAGCGTGTTAATAACCAGGGGATGCTCTGTCAGTCGATCATTCATGATCATGTGGAGGCCATCCAGGAAAGAAGGGGCCTCAATGATGGTCTTGTAATAGGAATAGTACAGACCCTTCAAAGAGAGAAGCTCGGTTAACGAGAGAAAGTGTGAAAAAAAGAAGGGAGCAAACACAGAGCAGTGTTCTGCCAAGAGACAACATATAGTCCGAGTCAGACATGAGAAATGTGTTACACAGGCTGAGCAGATGGCAACAGCTCACAGTCCATTCGATAACACACAGCGGGGGTGAGCAAACCATCACATCTTCACCTTAACTGTCATCCCAAAAGCATCGGCTGCTTTTTACCAGCTTCAGGGACCGCGTCGACTACTTTTTAAAGAAACACTCTACTGATTTTTTAGGCAGACAAGTAGCAAATATATGACACCAAAAAGAAATGAGGCAACCTGATGTGACGGTTTATACTCTTGTGGCCCGTTTGGGAGGCTGTACACACAGGTTAGAGTTTATCTTGGGTCAGGTAGGTTTCTAAATCTGTTTGGTTGTCAAACACTGAGCCAAAAGAGCAAAGTCTGCTCTCTCATTCTCCCATTTAGCTCAATAATGAAATACCAGGTTTTGGGGTTTCCACATCTTAAACATGATATCACATTCTTCAAACGGCTTTTTGTGATTAACAAGCTATCATTTCACCTGTGCATCAAGAGTTGTTTAGTTATTATCATGTCATAGGAATTTAAACAAACTTTAAATTAAAGAACCACTAGAAACCCAATAGTTCTGGGTGGATTTCCAACCCCTAAAGTGTCATTTACTGCACTCTTAAGATGACATGCATCAATGTGAATTAGTTGAGAATGAATAATCTGGATTACTGTGTAATACTTGACCAAACAAACAGCCATTATCTACTTATTGAATAACTTAGTTTGTGTAACCCTGATAAAATGAAAACTAACTTCTTACCATTTCTGTTCGAAAAGCCATTTCCTTCTCCAGATTAGACAGATGTGAAAAGTGCCTGTCATTCTCAAAGAGCTGTGACAGATGATACCTGTTTATAAGCAAATAAATATGTGAGTGATGAGGTAATCATCCAAACACGCGTTGGTAAAGAGCTAATAGGAGGAGTGCATCTCACCAGTGAAGGTATCCGGTTAGACCAGCTGTGGAGAGAAAGGATAAACTTTCACTGGAACTTATTAACCGAGCTTTCCCATCCCTGATGGTTAAAAACTGCAATACCACGTACATTAACCGAGCCACATGGGTCGTGATGTGAACAATGATTTAAAGGGGGCTAGTGCTGTGCATCTGCAGACAAATCCAAGCGTGAACTTTACCTGAAAACCTGTTAACACTTGCCAACCGCCGTATCGCACAAGCAGACGAAAGTAGGGTCACTTCGATCCGATTTTAGCGGACGGGAACAATAGGCAAGCAACCGTTCGGGGGGCTAGCGTTAGGTATGCTAATGTTAGCCTTGCAAAGAGTACCGGAGACAACTTAATTTAGCACAAACGCTATTGATACTGGAGTCCCAGCTTTAGCGCTAGTTAGCTTGTGGTTCAGAAGGGAAGCTAACGAGCTAGCGCTCCGGACTTACCGAGGAAGAGAGTGACTCCCAGCTTCAGGACAGAGGAGGGAGTTAGCCCGAGCTTGTGCCCGATGACCGAGAGTCCGTTAGAGTGCGAGCTGTGGGAAGCCTTGCCCTCCCTGCCTGGCCGCCGAACGTTACTTTTGCCGTGGGGGGGGACGAGCGGGCTCTTGTCGCGGTCAGTCTGGGTCGCCTGAGTCTTCCCAGACGGTTTTCTGTTTTTCGTCACCATGACTGCCAAGTAGAGCAGAGGGTGAGGAAGAGAGGTGTCGCTGGAGACGCCGAGGGTGCGAGCCTAACAGCTCCACCGCCGCTCGTATCTGGTCCTCGTATCTGCCCCTTTACTACCTGAGGGATGCTTTCACTCGCTCTCTTCCAGAAATCTGGTGAAGCGGCGCCCTCTGTTGGTGGTTTGGGGGTACTACACTCAGCGTGCACCTGTCACCATGGGAACGCCAGAACGCATTGTGGGTGCATTTTATATGCCAATATATTTTATAGACACTTAAAAATCAGGATTTTTCCATTCTTATTCTTTCCTGAGATTTACAGGTCAAGACCGAATAACGTGTTGGGCCCAGATTCATGAACAGCACCTACTATATTAAACTTATGAAGTCATTTACAGAAGAAATGAGAAGAGTGCATAAAACATTTAAACATAAATAAATTAAAAACATATGAGCAAATAAGAGATACAAGATATTAAACTGAATCTTTACACAAGACAGATAACAGAATTATGATACAATAAGCAATAACGAAGTGACAGAACACAAGTTAAAAGTATTTGTGTTCTTTTTTGACAAGTCATATAAACAAAAACCAGGAAACACAAATAACAGCTAGAAAAATAACGTGCAGAAAGACCCAATGAAAACATTGCATACCGTCAATTAAGCCATTCTTCTGACTGTGAATGTTTTAATCTGCATGTTTCTATTACTTTCCTAAAACACAAATTCTTATAACAAGATATTTTTTTCAAAATAAAGCACATATTTAAAACGTATTACGTTATACTATAGACATATTTTCTTTTAACTGTTAACGTAGATAAAAATATATTTTTTACTGTGTTTTGCTTTTTATTTGTTTATGCTCTGTACGTATGTTTTCAAAAAATAGAACGAAATCAGGAAAACATAGGAGTCACACAAGCACCAGTAGATGTCACTAAAGGACCACACATCATTGTTTCTTCCAGCAGAGAACATCTGCTGCCATGTCTAAAATTGATCTTCATTCATTCCATCGAATTTTTCATTTTCTCAATCATTTAGGAACTGATTCAGTTCATTCAGCATGTCATTGACTTAAAACCGAAGTGACGACTTGATATTAACGGAAATTTTCCATTATATTTGTGAAAGAAAATTCATTTTCATTGTATCTAGGATGACATGGGGCTGTGAAGGTTTAGGATAGGATGCTTTGTGAGAATGGTCTCAATCAACGTTTAAAAAGAATACGAAGGCGTTTCTGAGGCCTGTCATTGCCTTTTATTTGGGAAAAGGAATATCCATTGGATTATTTTGGACTTTGAGCATCTTATTTTAAATTAATTTATGCCTCTCACAAATCCTTGCTCATATTCATGTAGACGCCGGGGACAGTGTGGCTTATGTAGCTGTCAGGAGTTTTAGTAAAATCCCACAGATCAAAGGGATGAATTCAAACCAAAGATGTGGTCATTAACAAATGCTGTACAGAGGAAAAACCTTAGCATAACATGTTTTTTTTTTTCTGCTGCTGATTCAATATATTGTTAATGGAAAATGTTAAATGGCAATGAAATAAAAACAAATCATTTGTGCCCACAGTTTGGATGATGGTTTCTATGTGGGTTTCTGTTTGGAAATTTTACTCAATCATGTGAATATTAAGGATGGTTTACACGGAATAAAAAAAGAAAATTAGACAAGACTGCATTTTCCTTAGCTACCAGGATTAATGAATAAATAAATAAAGCAGATTCATTGAGCAGTAAGGCCACCTACATCAATAACCCAGAATCTATCTTCATATTGATAGTATCTTCAATAATTATCTTTGGTATACAAAGAGTTCCCATTCAGCCCATTGTTTCACAAATCTATTAATCTGTAATTAAAGTTAGAAAGAGATTTTTTTTCCACAAAGTACAACTCATGAACCATCTTTGTCCATTCCTCTGTTGTGAGCAGATCAGGATGTAAACTGATATCAAAAGTATCCCAATGCAAAAATGTATTATCACTGAGAGGGTCATTTCTGACAGTAAAGTATTTCTGACCAGAATCAATCAAAGGGGTTTCCTAAACTATATGCCAAAAATGATTATATTCAAAATTCCGGTCAGGCCAAAATAGTATTGGTCTGACTGTAATTCACCACAAAACCATGACAACGTCATTTCATTTTAATGATGAATTTGTGAAATGCTGTTTAAATTTCAAGGAGAAGCATCTTTTAATAGGAGCTGATGTTCCCGTAAGTTCACTCTCAGTTCACAGCGCTCAGTGCTGAGAAAATTACCCAACAGCCACACCCTGGCCTAGACCCTAATATGACACAATATTTCACAATAACAATAAACCAATATTTCCTACAGCTAAAGCTGGGCTGAAACTTTCTCCCCAATGACCCAAAACACAGTAGCGGACCTACAAAAGAATGCCTGAAAAAGAGAAGAATCAAGTCACTGCAAAAGTCCGGTCAACGTCTAAAATCCCTGAGCAGGCAGAATTCCCACAACAGTGTGAGACTGATGACATCAAACACAAAAACAGCTTGTTCTACAAGCTACTTTACCATAGTTTCTACTTCTCCATCACACATTTCTGCACTTTGGCATGGCTGTTTTACTTTTAAGACCCGCTAATTACCAAAATCCTGAACTTAGTTATATTTTTTTAGACTGCTCATATGAGTTAAAATTCTTCCTCTTAAAGGAACAAAGTGTAAAATTTTAACAAAGCAAATAAATGACAAAGAATTGTTCAATATGCCATGAAAAGATAACACATGAATACGATTATTCTCCTTGTTTAACATGTAATGTCCTCTCTGCTAAACTGCCTTTGTGTGTATTGCTAGCAAGACGTAATTCATGCTGTTTTTTTCCCCCCAGACTTGCTCACATGGGCGCTCTCAGGGCCCACACACGTCTGACACGGTGCTTGTTGTTGTACCACCCTTTAGCCGTTGTTGTTGGAGCGCCGGGCGTTTGTTCCTGCCCAAAGCCCCGCCTGAAAACCACCGGCACATGTGGACATCGCATGGGCTAAAAAAATTATTTTTAAAAATCCTATCCTGCGTGCATCTCTCACCATCAATCCAGTTTCCATCCCACCGGGAGCCCGCAGCAGCTCCTCCCTTGCCTCCACAGCGTTGTTTTCTCAAACTCCCAGCAGATGGGAGGCCCCCGGGGCCGAGCCAGAACACAATCACTGAGTCTGAGCGGTCGCCAGAAACACAGAGGTGTCGCCGGACGGCACGCCGGTGAATGACAAGCTATTGAAAACTGTTAGCTCAGCTTGCAATTACACTGAGGGAATTTGTTTTTAAAGCAAACACAGGGATGGTAGGGGTGGGGGGGAGGGGGGCACTGTCAGGGCTCTGTGGCTGCGTCCGTGTGGTGGACGGCGGCCGACCACACCACGACGCTCGGACCGTTGGGCTTCACAGACCACCTGCTAATTAAAGACAGCCGGCCTGTACGGAAACCAACCAAGAGCACGGAGCCTGACACTTTAAATGACTGGAAATGGCAGACCACTGGCCGTTTTGGGGTTTCCTTCTTTTACCAACTCAAACTAATTTGAAGATTCCCTTCGGCCTGACAGTGTTGGAACATTCCCGGCCAAACAGCCACAACTTAAATAAACTCTATCCCCTTTATTCCCTCAGCATTAGTAGGATAAAAACCAAGGAAAATTTAAGTTATGAATAGAAAGTTTCTCTAAAATCAAATTCAAGTAAAAGGTTGGACCTGAAAGTTAGTTACAGCAGAGGATGAACTTGTTTGTGTAAATCATTTTTAATGATTAAGTTTTATAGCAGAAGATTAACTTGGTTGTGTAAATCATTTTTAATGATTAAAAACCTCTGAAATTTCTATCCTGGAGATGCGAAAACCTAATGGAATATCTAAGCCTCACAACGGGGAGATTTTCTTTATTTGGTATTTTGGCATGTTTGTAGATCTTGAATCTTTTAGTCTAACATTTGCTTAACATTGCATAATTCTATAAATTTTCACTATTTTGCAAGCATATTGTGTGTAAATGTTTGTTTGAGACAGGGGGAGGGAATTCATCGACATGCCAACTGGCTCCCGGCATCACAGTGACATGTTTATCACAGAGCAGGAACATATGCTGTCAATGATCACGCCTTGTTTGAATATCACTTATCCCAGCATTAAGGCCCGTCAGTATTCTCTGGAAAGCAATTCAATTAGAGTTTTCTCCAGGGGCCACAGGGCCACCACTTTACATCAGTCAGGTGACAGGAGAACGTCTCTGTTTCAGGCCAGTGACTGTGTCAGTGTCTGAGAGAGCGTACAAATTTGAAGCTGAGAGGATCATTTTCCTGGCTGTTTATTCTAAAACTGACTTAGAAGTGAAACTGAACAAAACAAGACGTTAGATTTTAGATATTCGCATTTTCAAGCCTTGTTTTCTCTTCGAAAGGCTCATAAATGATGCCCAGTTATGCACACCTTTCAAATTATTCTCCTTTTTTTCAGTGAGAATCACCAAACATTTCTTTAAACATGCACTTTTTTCAATAATTTACACACTTAAGACATTATTCATGCATGGGCTTCAATATCTTAAGATACTTTGTGAACAACAGGCAGACAAATGCTCAACTACCTGAGAGTGATTAGTCTCTCATTGCAAAGTTACAGATGGTTAATTTGACAGAATTAGCTTTTTCTTCATGTAAAACTGTACATTATTTACAGAGAAAGAGACAAAAAAGGCTGTAAACCTGGCAAGGGGCTGCAGATGTCGGACTCTCCTTCACCCCTTGGTCATTGCCATGGTAACACCTGTTTTAGGTGGACACAGTGATAGCCTTGGCCTCATTTTAATTCCCGGTAACACAGCTGCTGGATTAGCAGCACGCACTGACCTCGAGAGTTCCAGTGCCTCGCTTCCCGGGACAAAGCTGACTGCTCAGTCACCTGCCGCTCCGCTGATGGAGAGATAAAACATCAGACTGAACATCACAAACCCTTCTTTCCTTTCACTTCTCTCTGCATCCACACAGTGGTGAACCATCTTCCTTCCAAAATGTTGTGGGCATGTATTGATGCAGAACTTGATTTGACCTACTGGATTTCTTGTTTGGATTAATCCTTTTAAATCCAGCTAACATACCCCTTAGACAAAAAACAAAACAGCTAAAGGAAAAGTATGATATATTCCAGAAATGGATTATTTCAACCCTTTCATAGCCCAGTTTTTTCATTTCGTTTAATATTTATTATACAAAATCAACTTCTAAATAAATCATGTATGCCTTTAGAATTTAGTGCATAAGATGCATAAGCCCCAATTATATCTATTCTCATGTTGAACACAGGTACATTTTCAAACCAGCTGCCTTTTTATTTTTTCAGTTTCATGACTACAACACAGATGGGTCAGATTTCCCGCTGACCCCTGCACATTACAGGGAATGCTTTGCACAGACGCCTTAGCTTCAAATCTAGACAATGGTCTGATTATTAGCATTTCTTCTACAGCATGTTGTTTTATTATTCATCCGGCAGCAGCATGCATCCGGGTAAGATGTGGGTGGAGTTTAAAACTAAAAAATGTTCAGCTGGGAAAATTCTAGTTTCTGGAATTCATAGTTTAAAGAGCAAAGAAATTAAATCATTTGTTCTTTCCATGCCATGACAGGTCAGAAATGTTTTGCCAGGTTGAAGTATAGATCCAGGAGGATATAAACAAAATTGGCAAAAAATAGAACTGCATTAGGAAAAACAAACAAACAAACAAATATAAAGCAAAAATTAAACATAACAAAGTTATAGAAAGCGGTTGTTACAAAAGCTAAGGAGGGACGCAGCCCACGAGACAAACTCAGAGAGAGGGCATTATTTGCTCTAAGCCAGTGCAGAAAGATTGTTTCCCTTGGCGCTGCGCAGCGATTTCCTGTCCTGTGATCATCGCTTCCATATGATTAGGCGATGTGCAGAGCATGCAGTCACATGATGGGCTTTGCTTCATACTGACTGTGCAGGCAAACGAAGCAAAGCACCGACAAAGTTGGTAGGCCGACCCACAGAGGATTAGCCGCGGCGAGGAAGACCCACATAGGGATGTGGGTTACCCATCAAGGCAAGAACACGCTGATGGCTGTCACTCACATGTGGCCGCACTGCTTACCACGGAGGGAAAGTCATTGTGGGCCATGTTAAAAGTTGGTTTTTCTGATTTACGGCGAGGGCTTTTTGGTTTTACGCCCCACGTTGCTCTGCGATGCTTCAAAAGCCGCGCTCACAAAGAGAGACGTAAAAAGAACAAAAACACAGTCAAAGTAGATCTATTCAGCCGTGGGTAGGGTCAGTGTAATGTAATTAGCCCAAATCAGTGACCCACTATTCAGTGTCACGGGGGGCCCCATTCTCCCAGCGCAAACCACCTCCCAACACACACTTACATTAAGTCAAGCTGTCTAACCACAATTAACACAAACCTACAGAGTCACAGAGCTGTGGCCCTCTGGATAATGGACATCTTAACAATGACAACTGGGAGCAAAAAGAAAAAAAGCAACACCCGACAAAAGAACACAAAGACTGTCACATTCTCATCTTCAAGCTAACGTGTGCTTTTGTTGCTTTACGGACAACAAATTTGGAATACAGTCAGAGAATATCACATCTTGAAACGAAGCCCCACAAAAACTAGCTTAAAATATGCTGAAATATGTTTTCCCAAATACATTTAAAACACCAACAGCTCTCTCTCTCTCCTCTCTTTGTCTGGTGGCCTCTCTCTGACGATTGCTGTTATTTTTGACTAAGCCTCTTACTGTTACTAATGCAGAAGCAGGAGTTTTCGGGAAGCAATCTGGAAAGCCAATTGCTTTAATTAAGGTGAAGAGTCACTGACTGTTTGAAAGGCGAAGTGGAGACTCAGCATGCCCTCTGTGAGTGTATGTGTGAGTGTGTCTAAGTTTACCTCGGTCACTTTTCAACACTCTGACGGTTTAATCTTTCCTGCCTTGTGCTGGTATTAAAAGATTATATGTGTTCTGCATGGCTTCTTCCTCTACACATAAGGAGCTGTTTCTCAAGGGGTTTTTCTTGATTAAATATCAAAGTGGGAATACACTGGGACCGACATGGAGCGAGAGAGACAGAGAGTGAATGGGGATGGTTTAAAGTATTTCTACAGCTTTATGTAAGAAATTGGATTCTTATTGTTGTAAAATGAACCTTTAGAAAAATAAATAGCTGCCTCACTGAAGTGATTCGAGGGTTTGTCGTCTTTAGCAGGGCTTTAGCTCCTTCCCTGTCTGTAGTTAGAAAATCATGTCAGAAAGTCCTGTTAGCAAAGTGAAGAGCTAACAGGACAAATCTGACTTCTTGCTCACTCTGTGTGTGGCAAAAATGGGAAGTGGGGCACCAGTGGGAGTTGTTTTCAGCAGAGCGGAGATTTTTGAGAACTTAAAGAGTAAATACATCTATATAACAATACTTTCTGAGTTAATCATTCTTTCTGCTTTCTTGAGAATTGTCCTCTCGTTCCGGTACAAACCAAATGTAAGAGTCCATTCCATCAGTAGTAGAATTGGTCAGTGCTAAAGAAGGATAGTGAAAGCCGCTGTCTGCTGCCTGTGTGGAGGGATGTGAGCAGGGAGGCCGACTCGAGACAAGTCACTTATTCAGTTTACGGTAATTCTATTTCTCTAGAACGTGGTCATCCATCCCTAAAGGCTCCCAAATTTTTTTTAACCAGCTGCTAACATGCCTTTCAGCTGAAGATACCACTGAGTGGAAGAAAACCTGCTTAGCTTTAGTCCAGATTCATTTGGCATTAGCACGAATAAGAAAGACTAACACTGTCTGTACTGAACTGAACACAATCGCTTCTCAATTGCAGTACTGCCAGCGCTGATCTGTGGCCCCATCCAGCACGAGAGGTGGGATGAATTCTGTGTGGATTTCCTCGGGGCAGGACACGTGTAAGTGGGTGCTCTCATTAACGGAGGCTCCAGGTATAGAGGCGGGCTATAATAAGTTCTTTCAGCGCC